TGGTTATGGTAAATTAAACGTGCGCTTTTAGCCAATCAGAATCGGGGAAATATTTTGAATGAATAATAATGTATCATTGTCTTAAACAGGGTAGGGTTAAGTTAAAGTAAATCAAGTCTAATAGACCTTTTTACCGATACGGCGCTATATTGAATTTATTAGATTTAAGGACTATTATGGGATGCCGGGGGGGGGGGCACTCGCTTAGTATTTACGCAGGCTTTTTTGGCAAAATGAGAACTTCAATTATTGTTTATCGGCAAAAAGGCAACCATTATTACATCCAAACACGGCACAGCGATCTTTCTTTTCCCATTTCAATCTTTTTCTAGGTAAGCTTAAAGAAAAATTGCCCGAAAAAAGCGCGTAAATACTGATGCGAGTACTGACATCGGATCGTGCTCATGCACCCTGGGCATCCCATAAGACTGTTTAAATCCAAGTAATTCAATATGGCTGCCGTATCGGTAAAAAGGTCTATTACCACGAAACGAAGCAAACCAACTTTCGTCTCTTTCTTGGACACGCCATTTTGACGCCCGTCTTAAAACAGCGCATAGCTAACAAATGTTCCCAGTTACGGGGGCCAATCAAACCATTCGAATATTGCTAGTCACTGAAAATGGCTGAGCATCTACCCGTCCTTAGGGTCGGTGCATAGCGCCAGAGGTAATCGACGCTCATTGCGTCGCGGTTATCTCCACCATTATTTACTGCCTCTTGGGAAGATAGTTCATATATTCACTAACAAACAAAATAATGTTAGCGTTAAATTTAATATGGCCAACGATTCAGTTTTGTTTTCGGCTTGACTTATATCTCGGGCTGAAAGGTGACGACGCTATCAAGCACATGACTTAGGCAAACTGCTTTTATCTCTGTTCATTTAGAACGGTCCAATTTACTTATTACAGATATTTAAACCATAGTTTTGGGGTAGGTCACAGACTTACGAAATTCATGGATACTTACGCCTTCTTGTTATTGTAAAAGGTGGTTTGAATGCCGTGCAATGGTCACTATGTAATACGTGTAGTATGTGTATGTTTACACTGATAGAAGCCGTGGGTTTAGAAGTCACGTGATTTGAAACCAAGGCTAAGCGCCTTTCTTTATTTTAGGTGTAAACTTACTGGGCAAAGGCTGTTATTTAGTATACCACAAACTTTATTGAATCATAATCCTTAGGTATCCTCCGACCCAAATATAAAATCAGAGGAGTTCCTATGGGTTGGTGCAGGGTCCACATTTGTTATACGTTGGTACTCTTTTATCATAAGTGCAATGTTATTTTGGCTATTCTAACGTTTCATTAGTTCACCTCCGGCTGAAACATCAAGGAAACTTTTTTTTTTCTGTTAGAATGATAGAAAAGATTCCTCTCCAAGGGCGATGTTGCTATCAGGCTATGATAAGATTATCGTTATCTCCAAGGAAACCATTAAAAAAACACAGAAAAGCATACAGTAGTGAAATTTTTGAATAAACACGTTCAAAGCAATCAAAGCCTTGTTAAAAAAAAAAAAAGAAAAAAAAACAAAAGAAACTGTTCTCTTGAAGGAAGTTCGTGCTGCGACGGTTCGGCATAACTTAACCTGCCATAACTTGCTGTATGGGTATCTTCTACCGGGATCGAACCGAAAATACCCATACGGTATTCTCTACAGGGTATACCCATACAGCACTGGTGATTTAGGTATACAAATGATTGTGAAGACCCCCTCTCCCATTTTCTAAGTTAAGAAACTCTGGGGACTTAAGAGCGACTGTCTGTAAATATCGACCAAAATCGACTTTGTGTGGCACAAGTTCAAAATTCGAATTTCGCTCATTTTTGGCTCATCGATAACCCTTAATGAGTAATGAAACATGCTGTAGTTAGTTTTCCCAATTAACGTATTCTTTTGTTAAAATTCGAGAAAACTCATTTTGCTCGTTCGGAGCTCAAAATCCACTTCCGGTAAAGCGAAATTTTACACAAATTCCATTGACTGGTAAGTCAAACCACAACGATTTGGCAGCCTTTGTAGTACACGAATAGTTTTTATGACCCTTTCTTTCTTATAAGACGATACATTTGTGAAAGCTGTAATAAGTTTGTGGCCAAAAAGGTATTGTTAAAAATAGGCCCTATTGACAATTTCTACCGTTCAAAATTATAGGGTTAAAATAATGTAAATTTTTACAATGCGGTATAACTTAGAATTTCGCAAATTGACTTTCTACTGCTTAACAAGGCCCCAATATATCGGAAAAATCGAAACAAATCTCTGGGCAAACGATTTTAAGTAGCCCGCAAGACGCCGAGTTCAACCCTAACTTTGCGAAAAATCGCGACATTCCAATGGTTAAAAATAGCGTGACACGGCTCGTCACGCCAGCGGTGTTAACGACAGATTCACTTTCAACATTCTATTCAACGCTGATCACATGCCAAATTCCAGCATACAATCTATAGTACATCTTTCAGTACACTTATCTTATTTAGAAGAGTCATTTTGTTTGGATACAATATATAGTGTAGAACCACCCAAAAGCCGGCTTTTTTGAGCGAAGTCGGCAAGACGTCGACGACCAACAATCTTTAAACAAGTACAGTGGTGTGTTTTATTAATTTAAGCATTCGTCAAAAGGCATAAATACGTTAAATTTAAGACGGGTGTTGCGAGTTTTCTCTTTCAAGTAATTATGTATAAGTATAAATGTACGTTTCGATTTATTACTATCACGCTTATAAAGTTACATTGTAACGAACGTTTCAGAAAACATTTTAACTCGTTTCGATCGACGATGAAACACCATCGTCAAAAACAATTCACCAAAACCTTTCCTCTACAGCAAAACGGAAAATAGAAAACAAAAGTGTCATTTTACTAATGCTAAAGCAGGAATAGTTGCAGCGTGATCATGAGCTTTTAAAAATGGCAAATGCTCCTAAATGGACATCTATAGATCCCTTGCATCGCCTTTGGAAAAAAAAAAAACTCTCTGGCCCACTATGAACTAGCCTATTCCAGGCGTAGTGGACAGTGGACAGTGGATAGTGGATAGTGGACAGTGGACAGTGGCGCGTAATGGGGAACGGAGGAAAACAAACGTGGAAGAGAGTAAGAGGGAGAGAGTAGGAGGACCTTTCGCCCTCTCTCCCTAACCCCGCCCCTTCGCCATTTTTTCTAGCCCACTTTTCTTTGCGTTTTCCCAACTACCCGAAGGCCTGTTACAGGTTAACTACGTCCTTCATTTACAAATTTTTATGGTATATACCGTATTTATTCGATTAAAAGCCCTGGGCGCTTATTAAATTTTTGGACCTTGAGAGTGTGCGCTTATTCGAGGTGGGTGCTTATTCGAGGCTGGGCGCTTATTAGATTTTCGCCATTCTCAGCAAGTGTAGTATGTTAGTTTTGCAACAAAACAATAAATGGTAATAACAAAAGGCGGAGATGTAACAAAGCAAGGTTTCTGTAAAATGCTCTGAAGAAAACTCCGTCTTCGGGAGGGTCTCTTTATTACTTATTATCTCTTATTTGAGTTTGTGTGGGAGGGAGTGGGGTGGGGGTGGGCGCTGTAACTTTGTTGCCTTTAGGATGAGCGCTTATTCGAGGTGGGCGCTAATTCGAGGTAGGGCACTTATTCGAATAAATACGGTATTCAACTTGAGCGTCGAGCACTTTTGGGGCTTTGTTATTGATCTGCAGGAACGGATTTGGTAGAACTAACTTTTCAGCTGCTTTTAGACTGCGAAACTTTTTTTCTTTCTTGTTTTCTTCCTTTTATTTTTTCTTTGTCATTTTCTATTGTATTTTTTAGACTTATTTTCGATTCTCTCTCCAGTCTCACTCACCTCTCCCCTCCCCCACCGTGCTCCCTCTGCTCCAGACAAGAGGGAACGACCATTTTGTTTTGCTCCAGACCATCACCTCGACTATTCCGCCTTTTTGGCTTACGCAAAAGGTACGGGCTGTTCTGTGGCCTGAAAGACTTTGCACTGATTGACGCTTTAGTGTCATGGAAACTCTAGCTGTAGTACTGAACTGCAGATGACAGGTTAAAGACTGAAAGTTCCTTTCAACAGCGTTTGGAAAGAGAACATCGTCTTTTCCGCAAAAAAAATAAACAATAAAATATAAACAATAAAAATAGGGAAACAAAATAGAGCATAATACTAAACCTAAGAAGAACCTTGAAACGAACGAATGGGAACATCTAAAAAGGAAAGACAGACTTGAGGACTTTCCTAATCCACAGTAACCTTAGTCCATGAAACTTAGACGCCCAAGCAGGCCTCCAAAACCTCACCTTTGTCTTTGTCACAAACCGAATACTAGAAGACTGAATGCCTTAGTCCACTTTACGTAAGTACCGTGTAGATCTCCAGAAGAATCGTTTGCAGCCGGCCCTCAAAACCCCAAGAGACTTCACCTGCTGCTGGTCAATATATAGGAAGGCTATTCCAAAGAACTGCTCCAAAAAACTATTTTTCTTAACATTTGTCTGGGGTAGAGGAATAGCGAGTTTTCTGCTGGTGTCTCTTAATACGTAATTAGAGATATTGCAACGATCTGCCCTTGCTACGATCTATTATGCACTTAACAAGGCCCCTCAAAGTACTTAAGATATATGACGCATAGTCTGCGATACACTCGCCTCTCACTGCTCTTTGACGAAATGTCCCTGGCGGCAGATAGCGATGAGAGGAAGCTTTATCGCAGGCTCTTAGCATCAAGGCTTTTCTACTATTTACAATGGTAAACCGGTCGCTTCACGGTTTGGGCAAATGGTGAGGAGAATTCAGGACTGATTAATTTTGATTCCGTTCGGTAATCGCGTTTACCATTGTCTTAAGTCAGTAGGGACCTTAAGCACCAGGACGGGAGAGGAGGACGGCGACGTCTGGCGGATGGGGAAGACTGGGTCTACGTCCCCGTCGTTAGCATGAGTTGTTTGTTGTTAAGCAACTGGACCCTAGGACGGGAAACGCGCGGGAAGCTCAAATAAACATGGCTTCTTTTCGCGAAGCACGAATTGCCCTTTTGGACGCCTACATGGACGGTCTATTAGATGACGACGAATTTCTAGTACTTTGGCAAGCACACAAGTCAAAGAACCCAGAGTTCCCTTATGAAGAACATGGCCGATTTTCCTTCGACGAACTTGACGAAGCAGAATGCAAAGCCGAATTTCGATTCGAGAAGAGAGACCTACCAGTCCTTGTCAACGTTTTGGGTATTCCCAACCAGTTTACTTGTTCGCAGCGTACTGTTAGTGATGGGATGGAAGGATTGTGCATGGTGTTGCGAAGAATGGCGTACCCTTGCCGCTACAGCGACCTTATTCCCCGGTTTGGTAGGCCAGTTCCCGTCTTAAGCATGATCTGTAACCGCGTAATTGATTATATTTACGATTCGCACGTACATCGCCTCACTTCATGGAATCCCCAGCTGTTGGACCCTGCCTCTCTTCAGATGTATTGTGATGCAATTTCTAGGAATGGTTCTCCTCTCGACAACTGCTTCGGGTTCATTGATGGCACGGTCAGACCAGTATGCCGCCCTGGTGAGCAGCAGAGAGTGCTCTACAATGGCCACAAGAGGGTGCACGCCCTAAAATTTCAATCGGTTGTCTTACCATCCTGAATGATAGCCCATATGTATGGCCCAGTAGGTAAGTTAAATGATAAATTACAAACAGTTAATAAACAACAAAATAGTGCATAGGTTCAGATGTACGGTGCTACGAGGAGAGCAATTCTTAAGGCTGGAGATCAGAGAAAATCAAGTTTGAAATTGATTCAGTACTTGCACTGCAATATGATTGACTAATTTGAAAAAAAAGCACCCATCTCTTTATTTTGTTCCTTTCTGTTGTTTCTACTGCAGAAGGCAGAAAGCATGACGCGGGGATGTTAGCAGACTCTGGTCTACTTGCAGACCTACAAAGGAATGCATTCTCCTTAACTGGCCAGCCTCTTTGTCTGTATGGTGACCCGGCTTACCCATCAAGGATACATCTGCAGTGCCCTTTTAGAAATGCAGTACTAACACCTCAAATGCAGGAGTTAAATGCTGCCATGAGCGCTCTACGTATATCTGTTGAATGGCTCTTCGGAGATATTATTAATTATTTTAAGTTTCTTGATTTCAAAAATAATTTAAAAGTTGGCCTATCCTCAGTAGGAAAAATGTACCTTGTTGGTGCTATCATAAGAAATGCTCACACCTGCCTTTATCACAATCAGACTTCTGATTTCTTTTCTGTGGATCCACCAACACTTCAGGACTATTTTGTGTAGCTTGCATTATGTTAACATCAGTAATGCACAAGTGTTAATATGTCCAAGAAATTTTCAGTGACTGGATTGTGTAGAAAATAAATATGAAGAAGACCTTTGAAATGTCTGATAATTATCATGTAACATGCATTGTTTGTATTACATTTCTATCTTAAATAAACCTTGACCATATCCAGGTGTTTACTATGTTTGCTTGGGTATTACCTTGGCCATTGGGAAAAAAGCCTCTGAAAACCACTGCTAACATCATTGCCTTACATGTAGCTTTCACAGTTGCCACACCCCTCCCCCCTCCCCTTAAAGCTTTAAGCCTAGTGACATGGTTTCATCCCTGTTTTGTTATGGTACTAATGATGCGAATTTGAATGACTTTTTGATATCTTTCTTGATTGGCTCTATTATTCCCATGGCCTATACTTTTATTAAACAGTGATGTTATGAGATTCTCGTAACATCACTGTTTAATAAAAAATAGGCCATGAGAATAATAGAGCCAATCAAGAAAGATATCAAATAGTCAATCAAATTCTCATCATTAGTACCATAACAAAAAGTCAAACATCTGTCAATTTACACCTCCCTTAAGGGGACACTTACCCTTTGTGCAAGCCATGAAAGGGGTGCATTTTTAACCTCCCTTACGTGGACACCTCTATTAAGTGGACCCTTTCTACAGGTCCCAAGGGTTTCTGCTCGTATTAGGGCATATGCAATCAAAAATGGATTATAAAGTTGACTTTTATTTTTCATCAATACAACAAACTAATATTGTCAACTGTAAAATTACCCTAGCAAATGGTCTGGCATGTACATATTTAATGTTAAATTAGTTCAAGGCTCCAAATTGCACCCAGTGCCTAACTATAAGGTCAGGACACACTAGGCAACAAATCATATGAAGCAAAATGTTGCTGTGTCCTTTCCCCCTATCGTGTCACAGAGTGGTTGATTGCAGGGACATTTCTCAAAGACTTGTTGTCTAGCATATCACGACGTATATGATCTGTACAGTCAACATTGCGAAATTTTCAAGATCAATACAAGAAGAGAAATCAACATAACTTGAACAAGAGACACTAAGCCTCAAATACATTAAACACAATTTCAGGTGAATAATTTTCACAATTTCAGGTGAATTATTCTGACACAGTGGTGGATCCAGGGGAGGGGCCCTGGGGGGAACCAGCCTCCCCCCTTATTTTTAGACCAAACTGAGGCCCAAAGAAGCAAAAAAAACTTTCTTGAAACCCCCGCCATCTCAAGGTCTAGATCTGCCAGTGTGACACACGTGACATTAAACAATCATCTCGGAAATGACAGATAAACACTAACAACAAATCCACACAATACATTGTGTGAAGGCTTATTTATGGTCTAACTTAGAAACGAGAGCCATAATCAACTGAGTTTGCTGCTGCTGTTGTTGAAGAAGCATAGCTTGCATGTTGTGCATTTGCTGCTGCTGTTGCTGTTGTTGTTGCCTCATCAATTCGAGAAAATCCTGGTATCGTTTGCTCTCAGCCTCTTGTTGTTTTACTTTCATATTGACCTCCTCCTTACGAGCAGCAACCATTGCCTCAGTTCTTTCTCTTAAGAACACTACTGCATCTCCTCCAGTTGCCCTCTTCTTCTTAGCTTTGGTCTGAAGGTTGCTGTCTTGCCCTTTTCGTTTCTGAGTTTCCCCCAGTCTCTCCAATGACTTTGTGCGAATATCTTCAGCCTGTTGTCGATCTTCTTTCCTCTTTAGGTTTTGATCTTGATTTTCCTTGTGCTGTTTGTCCGATTCATCTCCCCTCTCGCCCAAATCTTCCAGAGCAACTTCCACCTCTGACATATCAGTTTCAATTCCGGAAGCTTTCCTTTCATCTTTTAGCTTTCTTCTCAGCTTATTTGCTAACAGGTTGTATTGATCATGAACACCCCTTCTGTCTAAATCTGACTTGAATCTTACTTCATCAACTGCAACAAGTCGTTCAGCGATGTCATTCCAAACCTGTCCTCTTTGAATTGAGCTCTTCTTGTACTGAAAGGGATTGTGTATCAAAATTTCTCGACAGAGAATTACATCGTGTCTGTCAGTCCAAAACATCATCTTTTCACTGCAGATAAATATTGAAACAAGCAATACAATAAAAAATTATTAAAAAGGGTTGTATTACCACAATCATGGAAAAAAATATTTTAGAACCTGAAGACTCCTAGCTGTCTAGAGGTAGATACACTATTTAATGAAATGAAGAATTAAGATAAGCTAAGTTTGTTTTTCTGTAGCTTCTCTATTGACATAACTGTTCTTTTGTTTCAGTTGCTTCATCTCTTCTTCTTTTTCTTTTATAAATATTTAGGAAATAACTACTATAATACGTATATATGTGTAACTATTTATATAATATATACAAGTGTGTGTGTGTATTTCTATAACAAATTTATTTATGTACCTACTGGTTTGCCAAGATTACCTTCTTGCTATTTGTCGGCTAGTCTAATTTTAAACATAAGTTTATACGAAGATGCAAGAAAGTGTTGCTTAAAAGCATACACACACAAAGCTTTCATCGCTGAGGTAAATCGCTGCTATCAAAGGAAATTAAAATTTTTAAAATGGAGAAAAATATGAAATACGAACATTCTGCAATACCTACACGCTAAAAGTCGCAAGTTTGTACATAAGCTTATTTATTTAACAAATTTAAGGTGACACCAAGCATCGAATTGATTTATTAACACATGAGCAGATTATTGGGGTTTTACCTAGCTATAGTTTAATCAGGGCAGCTCAGGGCAAACATATTTCCACAGAATATGAGCTAACTTCATTCAGTACGAATTTTAACTTTGTACTTACGCCGGTTTATCGCCTTCTTGCTTTTTCGCGGGAAGGTTTGTCGACATCTTGAGCTTGTGAGCGGGATGTACTGACAAAAGAAAGTAAAAAAATTGATTTATTTTTATCCCAGTTACCGTTAACTTGATTCTGACAACCATCGATACCAACTTTTAACATTACATTAAGTACTTGGATCCAACAGTTACATTTCAGGACAAAAAAAGCCAAAATTTACTTACGTTCTGTGCACGACGTGAAAACTCCTCACTTCACGTCGAAGACGAGAGCAGGACGGGATGATGCAACCTATTCGCATGCGCACTGCTATCGAAATGCGACTTTTCACTTCCGGTAAGGCGTCGTCCTCCTCTCCCGTCCTGGTGCTTAAGGTCCCTAGTTTCGTTTAATGAAAAACGGCCGCGAGAGCCTGAAACTAATATTCAAAAAAGGTTTGAAGACATGAAATCCGAACTTCCGCCTGGAAGTTTCCAACCAGGAAAATAGGCGATTGCCTTTTCAGACGTTCGTTTGTTTCAGGAATTTTCCACTGAAACGTCGAAAGCAACCCGAAACTGAGTTTATGGTAAGCCTGGCAAAGCACCAAAGAGTCCTCTTAGTTTGTTTTAATGGGTCATAGTCATGCAGTAGCTTCATGAGTCACACACGTTGTCATACAAGTATGTGCTCCTCTTGGGGCATCCACGTAGCTTTTTTTTTTTCAGTTTTGAGAGCCCGCAAGGGTAAAAACTTCGAAAAGAACTATTGCACCAATACTTAGTCTAAAATATTTTTATTCTTTAATATTGCTTCAAGGAAATTAGTTTTTATAAACCAAATGGCATTGATCGGCGATGACTTAATTCGCAAATATCTCTCAATGCAAAAATTCATTCAGTAATCAGTTTTAGTTTTTAGATTTTGTTCTGTTTATATACTATTTTTTGAGGGAAATCGCCAGTCTGCAACCGAACATGAAAGTGTGTGACGCTATCCCAGGGACCCTAAATGTTGTATCTGAAGAAAATGCTGCAATCAATGAGAATAATAGGTTTACTGAAAGATTTAATTTCGAACTGGCTTTTAATCTGCTTTTAAGTAAATTGTTTAAAGCATATCTATCGGTAACACTGGCGTGACGGGCCGTGTAACGCTATTTTTAACCACGGCAATGTCGCGTTTTTTTGCAAAATTAGGGTTGAACTCAACGTCTTGCGTGCTACTTAAAATCGTTTGCCCAGAGATTTGTTTCGATTTTCTGATAGATTGGGGCCTAGTTAAGCAGTAGAAAGTCAATTTGCGGAATTTTAAGTTACTGCACATTGTAAAAATTTGCTTTATTTTATCCCTATAATCTTGAACGGCAGAAATTGTCAATAGGGCCTATTTTTAACAATACCTTTTTGCCCGCAAAATTATTACAGCTTTCACAAATTTATCGCCTATTAATAACGAAAGCGTCATAAAAACTATTCGTGTTCTCCAAAGGCTGCCAAATCGTTGTGGTTTGACGTACGAGTCAATGGAATTTGTGTAAAATTTCGCTTTACCGGAAGTGGATTTTGAGCTCTGAACGGGCAAAATGCGTTTTCTCGAATTTTAACAAAAGAACACGTTATTTGGGAAAACTAACTACAGCATGTTTCATTACTCATTAAGGGTTATCGATGAGCCAAATATGAGCGAAATCAAATTTTCAACTTGTGCCGACCGTGGGTCGATATTTACGGAAAGCCACCCTTAAGGTACTTCTTTCTTCATAAACGCACTCGACGTCGACCAGGCAAGACTGCAAATACGGCTGCATTGGATAGATCGATATTGTGAGACTGTACGGGAATTTCTCTGTTAAGGAGCGGACATAAGGTGTTCAATCTTATTTGTTAGGAAAAATAATGGACAAGATTTGTACCTACTGTAGGACACTGTCCTTTATTGAAAGCTTTAATGCAAGACACATTGAAGCAAACTACACTGACACGCAAGAAATAAAACAAAGATGCTATTAAAGTAACGGGAAGGTTTGACAAGAATCTCAATGTTACGAGTAAAAACAATTCATTTTTTTGCCTGTGTTTGAGAGATAATATGGCCTGGGTGGGGGCGTTAAAAAGGAAGGAAAAGAGGATTCTGTGCGTATGACCCGGGGTATGAGAAGCACGAAGGGCGCGCGAGGAAGGAGGAAGTGGAACGCGTTCCCTTCCTTATCTCTCCCACGCATGCGGTCTCGCGCCTAATTTCCCTTCCATTCCCTTTCGAACGTTTGCCACGCAGGGTAGAGATAATCAAGGTATCCTATAATCATATTCATCTTCCTAGCTAATTGATATAACTTTTACAAGGTGCGATTTTAATCCTCGAATTCTAATCCGTTTTTGAATGGCCTTGCCTCGAAGCGGTTTACCTACAAAAGGAATCGTGCCGTGTGATTTAATTAAAGCACGATTTAATAAAATCGTTTTCACTTCACAATTTAATTAAAAGTGTTTCCAAAATATTTTGAAGGCAAAGGTTACCCCTTCTGCAGGTTTTTTTTTTTTTTTTTTTTTTTTTTTTTTTTTTGTTCGCTGAGATGAACGATTATATCACGCCCTTTACTTTGACTTCATATCTATAGACTTAAAAAAATTGAACGACAATATGGTATACATGCTAAGCCAAGAGAGAATGGGTTCCCCTGCAGCAGTAGTGATAGATTTTGTAAGCATGGCCAATCAAGCGCTCGCTGTCACAGCTATTATTGTCGCTTTACGCAACGAGAAGGAGCGGTGCGTGACAAGACAAAACGGCTGCATGGAAGACCAATTACCTACGAGCTCAGCCGATTATTATGTCGTCGCGAAAAGCATCTCCCCACAAAGGGGCTAGAGAAGCAATGCGTGACAAAATAAAGAACTGCTACACAGGACTAACATGCCGACGTAATAATACACAATTTTGATACTGTTAGAAGAGTTTACTATTGACAATCTGATACAACGAAAGTAGCCACAAAGGGCTAAAAAGAAAATATCCAAAAACAATTGCAGGTTTTCAGTGTCACGCCATTCAAAATAGATCAAAATAAAAATCAAAACCGTTCAATAGATAAAGTCCAGAATCTGGGAAATGAAAGGAGGTAGATATAAGTCATTTTTTTTTAACCTACATGACAGCTATCTTGGCCGTCATGTAAATGCGGCGTCACGCAAAGGTTTAGAAATTCAAGCGCACCCTATCACAAAACCAAGAACCCTTTTGAAGCGAAAATTTGTATGAAAATTTATTTAGTTTTCAGCTGCTCTAATGCATCGTGAAAGTGAAATCTCGGTAGGATCGATAGATTTTGAGTTTGAATTTTAGTGACTTCATGTGAAAACCAACAATACTTTTGCACCTTGCGCTTTACAGTCTATATTTGTAAAATGCTACTCTGAGGAAATTGAAGGAGCGCCAAAGTTCAAGACTCCCCTTATTAGGACTGGGGCCTAGATACCTCTTCAATCATTATCCGGGACACTGATTCCCACCCAGTGTAAGCATCACCCAGGGTTTGGCTAGGACACGGTCCTACCCATAATTCCACTCTAACAGCGCCTCGTAGGATGTTTTCACAGTACCCCTCAAATGACCGATGATGCAGCAGATTAGGGTTCCCAGATGGCCAGTAGTTGTAAATAACAGCCTCAATCGTCATTGGTCCACTGCATTCATTTCCATTAAACTTGAAATACCACCGGTTACACCTAGAACTACCTCCATTGACCTTCATGTTTCCCTGGAATGAGACTCTGAGCGCTGAATTAGACTGCAGTTTGTTAAACGCACAGTCCTGGAATAAAATCAAACAAATCAGACATATTGTAGTAAGACGAGCACCCTTGTGTATTGATTGATTCTAACAACTCCAGTCAAGATTACTTCCTAATGTTTAAAAAACTCTGTAATAGCTTCAATTTTTGTTGTCCTTATCCATATGGCCAGGAATCCTCTTTTTCGTTCCAAAAGAACTGAAGTAGAGTGAAATGTAACTTAGTCATTGATGAAAGGTTTTGGCAAACGGTGAGTGAGAGGGGAGACGTTCTTCTTTGAATTATTTTGATTTAGAAAGGAATTAATTTTCTTTGGAATGTGTTATTAACGATTCTTATACTAATAATTACCTTAATCTTTCCGTTATCAGCACGGTTGCCTGATTTCCACACACATTGTTTCCAGTTGGTTTGTGGTACTACACTTGCTTGACTTGCTTTGACGCTTTCTCCTTTCTCTCCTTTGTCTCCTTTTCTTCCTTGATTTCCCACAGTTCCTCGCTGTCCTTTCATTCCCACAATGCCTCTCTCTCCTTTCATTCCCAGAAGTCCCGGTTGACCTTTCATTCCCTTAATTCCTCGGGGTCCGCTCTTCCCAGGGGGTCCTTTGCGCCCTCTGTCTCCTCTTTGACCCGGCATTCCTTGCGATCCTTTATCACCAATTTGTCCTTTTACACCTTCCCTTCCCTGGGGTCCGTGTGACCCAGGGACGCCCGGCACTCCCGGTAAACCATTTGATCCTGGAATACCAGGGAAACCAAGTATAGATCGCTGAAAGGAAATATGATTTGTAATTTAAAGCAGACAAGAAGACGAAACGGGATCCTAAATACCCGGGGGAGTACTCCTCGGGATTTTTGATGGAGGTGCGCCCTTCGGTTCTCCAAATCCTGACCCCATTTCAGGCCAAAAAATGTCATTTTTACGCCCGCTTACAGACCTGGCCTCTATACCCGATTTTAGACCTTGCCTCCAAGAAATTATGTCATTGTTAAATAAATTAATATAGCACAAAAACAGAAAAAAAAATTCTTAAAATCCATTTCGAATTCGCCATTTTTCTCTTTCCTTCTCATTTGGATTTGAAACGACAAAAAACGTTTATACACTCCCGTACTCCGTTCGAAACCCATACACGATTTCAGACCACAATGGGCAAAGTCCATAACCGTTTTCAGACTAAACAGCGCAAAAAACGCTACCCTTTGGGGTGGCACATACGTAAATGGCTTATATAAGGGAGTACCCCCCGGGCTGAAATACCGTAAACCCTATTAAAGTAGCAATTGAAAGGTCGCCAAGAAAGGACAGAACTATTGCCGTCTCCCTTCATCCAGAGGCACATAATGGACCTTTGATATCATAATCCTCGTTAAAGCTGGATGGAATCAGAGAAAACTAACAGTTAATGCTAAGATAATGCTGAGGCGATGACTTTTAGAATAAACTGCCTTACCCTTTGTGAGGTACTTTTAATAAGGAAGTGATCATGACGATATGAGCAATATAATGATTTCTTCGTGTACGTAATCTACGGAGTAGTACTACCTTTTATATTTATGCATGTCTTACCTCGCATAAATCGTTTGACTTTGTGGTGTTTTGTTGCTGAGGTGAGGAAGTTGTTCCCAGTGAACAGCCAGAAAAATAGAGAATCATGAAAACAGCGGCCAAATAATTAACCATGATGAGAGCTGAACCAGAACACTGTGATTACTGATATCGGTGCTACGTGCTCATCAGTTAAATAGTGAATATTTGAAAGTTAATCTTCTGTTTCTGTTCATTGTTTGTTTGTTTTTGTTTGTTTTAGTTTCCTTTTATGGCAATCTTTGGTCAAATGCCCACGTTCAGGGCATACTGAAACAGGGTCAAAAAGATGACATTTTCAAGAATTGTTAAAAAAATATCAATTTTTTCATAGTTCTGCTTGGTTTAGCTTGGTGATCCTACAGCCTCCAAACGGCCCCTGTTTCCTTTCAGGGCCTCTTTAGCGTGCCGAAAACTGTTAGACGATTAAAAAAAAGTTTGCCTTCAGTCTAAGTTAGTACAGTCATGTAAGAAAATAAAAGTATTAGAGATTACATTCAGTTCTGGCTAAACGGAAGCCCTTGACTTCTAAAGTATCTATTATAAAATTCCCTTATAGCTCATATCCACGTACCGTCGTTCATGGAACTGAAGTTAGGTTACCTTTAATTAATTGGTCTGATTTTAAAATGACCCTCTGAGAAAAAAAAAAAAAAATTGAGTGGTTTGTACGTTTAAGTGTTTTGTTTTACGACAGCATCTCCTTCTTCTACCGCTGTCACAGATTTTATAGAGTAGTGGCTGTTGTTCTAAAAACAAAATGACAAAGCACTAAAAAATAGAACTTTCTGTGTGTGTGTGTCTGTTTTGTTGCTGGTTTTTAAAACGCTGCGTTCTTTACACAGTTTCTATATTTTACCACACTCAGTTCAGGGAACTGAGCAATTACGTAACCACATTGAATAACGATGTGAAAAATTGGACAGTGATAATGACTTTCATTTCCGTTTTCGCTGCACCAAAATCTCTCTGTTAGGCAGCCATAAAAGAAAGTTTAGCATACAATGTATAAAAGTACAAGATGATTATTTTAAATAGGTTCAGCACCGGGTTTAGCATTCCAGGGGAACAATTCAAATCTTTTAATGCAATGGACATACTGTATGTGCACACGCATAGAGCTGAAACCTTCGTGAAGGGTGTTACTTTAGTCGTTAGACAGATCTATATCCCCTATTATAATATAATAAGCAGCATTCAAGCTTAAGGTTAGTTTGTCTTTGTAGTGAGATATTTCATTCCTTTAATTTCCTCTCTTGCTGAATCGTTTCTTGTTTTTCCCTTCATTCGTGACTAGCTACAGCCCAAAAGGATACTTCCTTCATACAAAGCGACGTTTCCGTTCCAGCACCTGAAACACGTATAAGGAAGTCGAAGCCTTTTTTTTTTTTTTTTTTTTTCTGTCTGGACAGGTCAAGTGAAAGAAAATCATCCGATGTCAAGTAAACTTTACAGTAACGACAACAAAGCAGCAACGACAATCTACATTACACCAGCCGAGAGCGAAAGAAACCTTTTAATAGAAATATATACATAGTTAGTAATATATAATGAATAATGCTGACTGCATGGAATAACCATTGGGCTAAAAAGACCAGACAAGATGAAAAGATGACAAGATGATTATAAGTTTGATGAAAAATTGACAAGGACAATAAAGTGTTCCTTAAGAGGAAGCAGAACGTTCGGGTTTCTGTGTCAATCTTCTGTTCCTGTGCATTGTTTGTTTATTTTTTGCTTGATTTATTTTCCTTTTATGGCGATCTCTGGTCACATGCCCATGCGTGCGAGGAATACTGAAACAGGGTCAAAAAGATGACATTTTCAAAAATAAATGACAATGACTTGTTAAAAAGGTAACAATTATTTTTTCATAGTTCTGCTTGGTTTAGCTTTGTGTTCCTAGAACCTCCAAACGGCCCCCGGTTCCTTTCCGGCCTCTCTAGCATGCCAAAAACTTTTAGACGTTGAAAAAAACTTTGCGTTCTGTCTAAGTTAGTCATGTAAAGAAATAATAGTATCAGAGACTACATTCAGTTCTAACTAAACTGAAGCCCTTGACCTCTAAAGTATCTATTTTTAAATTCCCTTATAGCTTATATCCTCGTACCGTCGTTTATGGAACTGAAGTTAGCTTACCTAAGGAAAAAAAAATGAGCGGTTTGTACGTGTAAGTGTTGTATTTTACGACAGAATCTCCTTCTTCTACTGCTGTCGCCGGTTTTATAGAGGTGTGGCTGTTGTTCCGAAAACAAAATGACAAAGCACTAAAAAAATAGAACTTTGTGTATGTGCGTCTGTTTTGTTGCTGGCCGTGGTGTTATTTCTTTTAATACGCTGCGTTATTTACACAGTTTCTATATTTTACCACAGTCAGTTCAGGGAACTGAGCAATTACGTAACCACATTGAATAACGATGTGAAAAATTGGACAGTAATGATGACTTTCATTTCCGTTTTAGCTGCGCCATAATCTCTCTGTTAGGCAGCCGCAAAAGAAAGTATAGCATGCAATGTATAAAGGTACAAAATGATTATTTTAAATTGGTTCAGCACCGGGTTTAGCATCCAGGGGAACAATTCAAACCATTTAATGCAATGAGCATACTGTACGTGCATACGAGCAAAGCTGAAACCTTCGTGAAGGGTGTTACTCTAGTCAGTAGACAGATTTATATCTCCTATTATAATATATTAAACAGCATTTAAACTTAAGGTTGGTTTGTCTTTGCAGTGAGATATTTCATTCCTTTAATTTCCTCTCTTGCTGAATCGTTTTTTTGTTTTTTCCTTCATTCGTGACTACGGTAGCTACAGCTCAAAAGGATACTTCCTTCATACAAAGCGACGTTTCCGTTCCAGCATCTGAAACACGTATAAGGAAGTTGAAGCCATTTTTTCTGTCGAAACAGGTCAAAAGAAAGAAAATCATCCGATGTCAAGTAAACTTTGCAATAACGACAAGTAAGCAACAACGACAATCTACATTGTACCAGCCGAGAGTGAAAGAAACCTTACAATAGAAATATATACATAGTTATATAGTAATATAATGAATGATGCTGACTGCATGGAATAACCATTGGGCTAAAAAGACCAGTCAGCCGTTATCTTTATGAGAAATTGAAATGATCTTAATAGTCGTTATATGACAAGATGATTACAAATTTGATGAAAAATTGACAAGCACAATAAAGTGTTCTTTAAGAGGCAGCAAGACATTCGGATTTCTGTTATCAACTTAGACCCTGTTTCGGCACTGGTCCGAGTAAACTTTTGAAAGGACGAAGTTTTTTTACCTATATATCGAGCTTACATGGAACCATCAAAATTCTGTAACAAATTGCCCTAAAGTTTATACGAGTCTGACTTACCAAAGGCGCATGACTAGGCTCTAGGCTTTTACCACGCAAGCTCTGCAAAACCCTGCACGGTTCAGGCTCTTATACAGTGATCTCTCACGTTGGTACAACAGCTCTCTCCTATCAAATAAGGCGGTTATATCAAGTTACTTTAGGATACTTATTAAGGTGGCTCCCTAGAGTAAATTGGCCATGCGCAGCCTGAGCACTAGCGCGAGCCTTAAAATCCACGGCGACGTCCACGCCAAAATAAAACAAACATGGCCTCTCAGTTTCGAAACATTCCCCGAAAAAAGGTTTTTAAACTTTCTGTTGAAGCTCATTGTGCAAAACGTTTGGTTAGTGTATAGGTCAAACATTTGTGAAAGGAGACAACGTTACACAGGTTACAAGGCACTTAGCTAAAACTATATCGATCCCCATAAGAGTAAATTGTACGACGAAGAAGGTCCATAAACAAAGCATAAATTTTCTAAAGCTGACATCAATTCTTTCGCTTCTAAAGTAGTCAATCGTAAAATCGTCGGAGTAAATGGTGAATGGAAACTTTACTAAGAAAATGAAACTGAGAACGTCTCCAAAAACCAACCTTGCATGAATTTCAAGGGTTTGATTGATCTAAAAATAACTTTGGTGAAATTCACCAAGGGCTACACTGTGGGTTTCCCTCTCTATCCTATCCTCTCTTGAAGATACCAACTCAATGCAGCCAAGATTACCTCCTAATTTAAAACTGGTTTTAGCTTAAAGTTTTGTTGCCCATATCTATATGGTCAGGAATCATTTTACTCATGTACGATGGCTTTCCTATTTTCTATCCACACGAAACAAAGTCAAGGGAAATGTAATTTAATAGTTATCTATCAGTTATGTGTTGGAAAATGGCATTAGTTTGGCAAAATTCCATGGATGAGAGTGGGGACGTTCTTCTTGAAAATGTTTTATTTGAAAAGGAATGAATTTTCTTTGCAGTGTGTTATTCATGTTTCTTATTGCATTTATGTATACCTTATTTTTCCCGAAATCAGCACCGCTATAGCTCCCTGATTGCCACACACATTGTTTCCAGTTGGTTTGTGGTACTACACTAAATAAATCTTGCTTGACTTGCTTTAGCGCTTTCTCCTTTCCCTCCTTTGTCTCCTTTTCTTTCTATTGTAAAAATGACAACTTTAGATAGCCTATATTAGCTTTCTAAAGATCGCTGAACGAACCATTTGAAACCTTTGGAGTTTAATCAGGGTCATCCATTGAAGATATAATTTAAAACCTCTTAAACATACCATTGTTGACCGTATTTTAGTAATTAAACGGTAGATATAGGCATATTCTTATCCCCTAAAAATTTTTCATCTTTTCGGATTTCTTAGCTTAAAGTATAGTGATCCGAAAATTATTTTGATTAAAACCTTCCTTTTCGAAAATGTCAGCCAGAAAAAAGGCTCTCGAAAGCTCTAGGTGACCTTTTTAGGGTAAAAATCCGTTAAAAATGGGGAATTATTCCATTTTTTAGATGTCAAAAATCCTAGCAGAGGCAAGCAAGCAAGAAATTTTGCAACAAATGTTCCGAAAATTCTAGATCTCAAATCGTCTTCCGAACAGATATTTTCCAAAAATTTACGTTAGGTGCCCCTGTTTAATTAAGAGAAGTTTAAAAACCTTTGAAAGTTTTTTTCTGGATGAATTTTAAGATAAACTTGAAATTACTATCCTCGATGATGTAACATGATGACA